ACGGATAGATAGATAGATGGACGGATAGATAGACAGACAGACAGACGGACGGACGGACGAACGGACAGATAGATAGAAATATATACTTTATGAATCCCAATTATTTTGTTACAGGACCAGTGTGTTCAACATTAAACTTAAAAAGTGGAATAAAGTTAACAATTACACATGTTTACAGCTTTCAAAAGGTCACCTTAACTAAAGTTAACTTAGAAAATATGTGTTTTAATTCAGCTGCACTGACCCTTTAAATACAGACTGCAGGTGAGCTTTGTTGACTCAGAGTTGTATGGATGGATCAGAATGCCTTGTTGGAGACGCAGTAAAAGACTCTGAGGACAGGCTGTCCGCTGCGTAATGAGTCCGGTCCATGGCAGAGCGAGTAGAGTGTCGTTCCTCCACTTCTTTTCCCTTTCAGTCGTTGCCCACCATGATGTCACGTATTCACTCGCTTTTATTCATCAGGCTGGCAGATTGCTGGTCTGCAGCCTCAGAGAGAAGAGTCTTTCCTTCTGTGTGTGCATAATGCACGGTGTATTGCATCTGTTTCACATAAGATATGGAACGTTTATTTATACAGCACCTTTCAACACAAGGCAATTCAAAGTGCTTTACAAAAATGAAAGACATTAAGAGCATTAAGAAACATATTATAAAAGGGCATTTAAAAACACTCATTTTAGCAGAAATAGTTTTCTTTGACTTCACTTTCTTTCTACTTTCTTGTTTAACTTATCCTTTAGTTATTTCAAGTGTTTCATGCTAATTGTTAGAAAAATCTCACTGGTCACCGGCTTGAGCTTCAACATCAGGATCCATGTGTCTGTGATCCTCTCCAGAATGGAAGGAGTCATCACATACAGAGCATCAGCTAGTTCCTGAACAGTGTCCTTCACATGCTGATAGGGATGCATATCGTTGACTTTTTTCCGATACCGATACCACTGAACGATACCGATACTCAACCGATGCATATCGTGATACTTTGAAAATGTATCATCCCACAATTACTCCCATGAAGCGCTTTACGATATAGTTAACATGTCAAATGAATATTAAATTCAATTGTGGGACTTCTTGGACCTTTTAGTTCTGAACAAACAATGAAAGATACATTAAAAATATGAAGAAAACCCGATTATGGAATATCTTTTATAACATCAGGTGTGCCGCGTGAATAGCACATCTTGTCAATGCAAACAGACCGTTATAGCACCGTTATAATTAATGTTAAACCTGAGATTCCACTAGAGAACAAATACATAATAGAATAAAGGTCATGAGATCTCGGCATTGCACAAACAAACAAATCTCATCTTTAAAATCAACATTTGCCTTCACTGGAGAGAGAAAACAAATCACAGTTCATTTGTGGGACTTTTACCTTTCTAGTATTGAACAAACAATGAAAAATACATATAATAGGAAGAAAAACGATTATGCAATCTAATTTATAACTCCCGCCATCACGGGCCACGGACTCAATTTAATTATTATTATTTATTTTTTAAAGTATCGAAACCGGATCTGATTTCGGTACGGTATACCGTAGCCACCAGTAACCGGTATTTCGGTAATACCGTATACCGGTATGCATCCCTACATGCTGATATCCAAGAGAGGGAGTTACACAGTCACAAGATGGAGGAATAGAAAGCAGTCTTCAATGTTTACTTCAGATTAGCTCCACGTCAGAAATGAGCATGCTTGATGTCTCTCTCCATAGAGGCTGAATCATCATGTTAATCACATTGCTATCATATGCCTCAAACAGTCCTGATGCTCTTCTAGGTAATCACACATCCTGTCATGTTCACAGCTCCAGTTGATACCTTTGTTATCATGTTGCTCTCATGTTGGAAGAGGACATTCAGTATTTTCCCAACACTAAACGAACCCCCCTTTTGAAAATTCTAACCTTCAACCCATTATTCTGAAAATTCAACGGATCCTGGACATATTTGTGTAGCATATACAATTAATAATATGAATTAGCTCCCAGACATTCATGTGGCTTGCTAGTTTTAGACCCAGTCTGTAGTAAAAAAGTCACCACTTAAGGTCCTCTCAGTATTTCTACTAATCACTTAAGCATACAATAGTGACTTTCTGTTTGATAGGAGCGCCCTCCTACCTGAGGTCAGTTTACGGCACAACCTCAAAAAACCCGCGTGTAACCCCAAGATAAGATAAAATAAGATTACTGTTGATCCCAGTTTGGGAAAAAAAAAATGTTGAAGCATAAAACCAAACAAGGAATTGCACATAACAACAAATTAAAAGAGTAGAAATAAACTATTCTAAAATACAAACATCTCAAAACAGAAATAGAAGTAAGCCAGCATTACAGAGTAAGACAAATATACAGATACAAAATCTATAAACTGTCTGACAAAAAAAACACTATTGAAGGGACAATTTTCAGTTAACACGATATACACAATATATGCAGGATATTATAATAATAATAAAATAAATATAAAATGTACAGTGTCAATGTTATAAGTGTAATATATGTGAATCCCTACTTTGCCTAAAACAGTAGCTCACACTGTGAAAAACATTTCTGCAGAGTCTTGAATCAATGGATGAGCAATAGATCTCTGTGTCGCTGAGTAATGCATCCTCATGTAGACGCTAATGTAAGCTAATGACATTAGCATAGCAGAACCCCGTCTTCTAATAGTGTTAAATGGGTCTGAGATGTGGCTTTTAGACGCCATAAGCCACCCTCTTTGCATTGAGTTTTGTCTCCTCTGCTCTGGATGTCCCACTCACCTGTCAGGAATCATTTCCTTTGTGTAGCAGCCGAATATCCAGCAGCTCCTCTTACAGCAACCACAACCACCCGAGGCTTTAAAACTCTGTAAAACTGTCTCTAAAACTCTGCCGTGATTTACTACAAACTATTTGGAGGAGTTTTGTGTAACATTAAGCCTCCACAACTTTGACATTAATGTGCATTACACTACGTACAATATAAATGTTTCCACTTCCTGTTTACTTGTTTGTACGACAGCATTAGGGAAATAGTTGAGCCAGGAGAGGGGCGTAAAAACGTTGAGAAAAACTGAAGAATTCCCAAGATTTAGGTAGTACATTAGTGAGGGAAAACTACCATAGTATGAGGGACAACGATGCAAGTATCCCCCCAGACTTTACCATAACATATATTTGTAATTTGGTATGCAAAATGTTTTTTTATTCCTAAATGTAACACTTTAAAACTTATCCAAGAGCTTTTTTAAATATGTCTTAGTTGTATTTTTTAATATTGCCCCCTTCCCATACATGATAATCACTTTTAACATAAAATGGCTATAATACATGGTGTATTGTTGAAATTACAGTGTGATTGTGTCAATTGCATTTGATGCATAGTTCAGAATAGGCATCTTAGTTTGAGTGTGTTTTATTTTAACTGCTGTTACTAACCCCACAATTCAATATTAGCGAGAGTTTTAAAAGTCTGAAGGTCCTAAACTTCACTTCTGTCTTCCTCTTTCTCTTTCTCTGCTCATACTTCCAGTTTTATAACTGTTGTTTCAAACCTGTATTGTCTTGTTAAATCTAAGTGTACCGTCCTTATCAGTGTGTGTTTCTCGGAGTGTGTGTGTGTGTGTTCTCTGCTCACCAGCCACTGTCTCCTGCTGTAGATTCCTCTAGCGGAGATGGAAGCTCTGTCTCTGGGCTCGGAGAAATCCTGGTCCCTAAATCTGACCGACGACTCGGGCCCCGGAGACTCTAACCCGATCTTTATATCCAGTCAGGAGTGCAATGTACTGACGAATCATCTCTTCCTCCTCTCCATCCTCTTCCTCCTCTTCCTCTGCAGTATCATGTAGTGTTTCCTTCCCAGGGCCCTTACAAAGCCTCTTGCTCTCCCAATACTCTCACACACTGCGGTGTAACAGGCTTAGGTTGAGAAACTACTGGATGCTAAGAGAGCTAAGCATCTGGTTTGCTATCAAAACATTTAATTTGCTTAACAGCTAAACAGATAATTTACTATCCAAACAGCTAATGTGCTTGATAAACAAACTAGTTTGTCATAGCCAAATAGCTTATTTGTTAGCTAAACAGCTAATATGCTAGTTAACTAGCTAATTTGTTATTGCTAAACAGATCATTTGTCATAGCTCAACAGCTAATTTGTCATAGCTCAACAGCTAATTTGTTATAGCTAAACAGCTTATAGCTCAACAGCTAATGTGCTTGCTAAACAGCTACCTTGTTAGCTAAACAGCTAATTTGTCATAGCTAAAAATCTAATTTGTTATAGCTAAACAGCTCATAGCTCAACAGCTAATGTACTTGCTAAACAGCTAATTTGTTATAGCTCAACAGCTAATCTGTTAGCTCAACAGCTAATTTGTTATAGCTCAACAGCTAATGTGCTTGCTAAACAGCTACCTTGTTAGCTCAACAGCTAATTTGTTATAGCTAAACAGCTCAACAGCTAATGTGCTTGCTAAACAGCTACCTTGTTAGCTCAACAGGTAATTTGTCATAGCTAAACAGATCGTTTGCATCCCTGCGTTATAAGGGCTTTAATCTGGTTTTGCACATGATATTGAAAAGTAATATTACACATGGTATTAAGGTGACATTGCAAAATGTTTTTAATATTAACATTGCACTTAATGTTAAGGTTAGATTTAGCTAATTGAGCCAGCTGCCTTAATGTGAATTTACTGTAATTCTCTAAAATGAAAATGAATTGTGAGAAAGTGGTCATAATGCACACAATAACGTCTCTAAAATAACATAAGGTTAGTGTCCTTTGTCTGCTGCTCTCTTATCATTTTCTCCTATAAGGACGTGTCTCCATGCATTAGGTCTGGTGTGTGCTGCTCATCAGTTAATCTCTACTTTCCTCCATGATACCCCGTCCCACTGGGCTCTGTCACTGGAAGGACGTCTTCCCGCTAAATAGAAAATGAATTGAATGTCAGAGGATAATTAACAGGCAGCTCGTTAATGATCACATGACTCTGCTGTGATCAATGACCTCCCCAGAGAGGTCCCTGTCACCTTGTCTCAGAAACTCAGCCAACATAAGACAGGAAATCTCTGTAAAGGAGATTATTCTGGGACAAAACAACAACGAAGAGCAGTAGTGGAAGAGGTTGTACAGTAGCAATCAAAAAAAATCGGGCTTACCAAACACTCTTTTCCTGAACATTTCGCTTGTAAATTAGTTTTTTTTTGGCTAATTTATGAAATATTTTAGTTTTTTTCTATGTAAATAAATTGTTTAACCTCAGAGAATACCCACATCTTTTTAAAATATGTATTATTATTGTTAATTCGCTCTTTTCTCAGTTTAAATGAATATTATTATTTGGTTTTTATCACCAACAAATGCTTATCATATAATTTTAAGTTCATTTTTAATACACTAGGTTGTTTAGTTGTACAGTACATACAGCATCAGTAGCATCATACAGTATTATATAATTATATCTAAGGTTTTATACGTGAAAAGTAGCAAGAAGCTAAGTTGAAACAAAGACTAAGTGAGTTAAAAAAATGTGTAAAAGAATTAAACAAAACTACATATAAATGTTTTGAATTGTCTACATTTGATATTTGAATAAGTGTTCATGCTGTTTTTGTTCAAAATGTATAAAATATGTTTATCATGTTAGAAACTCGTGTTTTATTCAAATATCTATACTTTTGGTAAAGCAACTAAAGCTGTCCATAAAGGAAAGGAGTCAAAAATAGAAATATATGCCTCCAAATTGTAGTTGAGACGAAGAATATGGAGCATAACATGGAAATACTCATGAAAATAGTGAGTAACTGGTGAGGAGGTACAAGAGGCGTTCAAAGACCCTGGGAAATCTAACCATCTTCCTCCAACTTCTCATTCTCCACTTCTCCAGCCTAACGTGTGCAGTGCAGTAGATTAGAGCGCCTCCTCGTCTGCAGTCTTCTCTCCTTTATCCTTACTTATGTTTCCTTTGTGTCCTTATAACCTAGTTTTACTTCCTTCCTTCCTTCTATTCCTCGTTTTGCTGTCTTTTCCCTCCGTGCTTTCCATGTGAGTCCACGTTCTTCTCGTGGTCTTTGCTCCTCTGATGTTGTAGTAGTTTCTCTGAGATGTCCTGTGTTTGCTGCAGTGGTTGTTTAGTGAATGTGAGCGTTAGCTGAAGCACAATCTCAGAGAAGACTTTAAGTTACATCAGAAATCCCTGTTGCAAAAGCAGAGAGCCGGTGCACGGCAAAACAAAGTGAGTAGCCTAACATAATAAATAAAGATATGTATAAATATGCAATATATACATTTTGACAGTTTAACATTGTTAATACTGGCTGCTTCTTCACCACCTAATACTGTCCAATATCTACTACTCTATCTTATAATGCAGCTACCTGTTGATATGACTTGGATATGTTCTTATTAGATTTGTATTTAATGACCTTGTGCTTCTTCATTTAATATCTTCTCGTTTTTATTTTGCATTTTCTCTGCACTGTCCCCTTTGCTGTAGTCATAAAATAAATGTCTAAAGGATATCTGATTCTGATAAGGAGGCAAGCAAACACTCTGCGAGAGGAAATACAGACAGTATGCAGACTTTCTTACACTTTTAAAACCAAAAACACCCAAAAATAAGTGGACATTTCCACCTTGCATCGTGTTGTTTCTGTGATCTGTGGCAGCTCTGTTCAAATGGACTCCAACATGCAAAGATCTGTCTGTTCTGTGTACGCTGATGAACACCGCCTCTCTGCCTTCATCCTCAAAACAAATGTCAATATGTATTAAGGAGTGTGAAGACCCCTGACCTCTCTCTCTCCCCAGGAGGAGCAGCTGGACCCCGAGCAGCCGCTGGAGGAAAACCGTCTGAGCGTCAGGAAGCCGGCGGTGGTCCGAACTCACTCCCTGCCCAACGACAGCTACATGTTCGAAAACACGGCCCCCCTGGATCAGATTATAGCACAGAACCAGGGGCCCGAGCACACAGGGGGCCCCCACAGGAACCAATCAGGTACTGAACGAGTTCAACATAGATGGAAACCAACACGTGTGACGAAGGAAAACACCTGAAGAATCGTTACTGTTTTATTTTACTTTAGTTGCAGGATGTGTTTTATTAGGATATTAGTACACTCATAGTTCACCCTTATCATAGCCATGTTACACTGTTATTAAACCCACTTTAATATATCAATATTACACAGGTTTTACACCCACATTATACCCATACGTCACTGTTATTACTCCTTCTCCTCACACATGAATACACCCCCATCACAGGAAATGGAAACCAGCACATGTGACTAGGGACGCATATCGTTGACTTTTTTACGATACCGATACTCAACCGATGCATATCGTGATACTTTGAAAATGTATCATCAATTACTCCCATGAAGCGCTTTGCGATATAGTTAACATGTCAAATGAATATTAAATTCAATTGTGGGACTTCTTGGACCTTTTAGTTCTGAACAAACAATGAAAAATACATAACAAATATGAAGAAAACCGATTATGGAATATATTTTATAACATCAGGTGTGCCGCGTGAATAGCACATCTTGTCAATGCAAACAGACCGTTATAGCACCGTTATAATTAATGTTAAACCTGAGATTCGACTAGAGAACAAATACATAATAGAATAAAGGTCATGAGATCTCGGCATTGCACAAACAAACAAATCTCATCTTTAAAATCAACATTTGCCTTCACTGGTGAGAGAAAACAAATCACAGTTCATTTGTGGGACTTTTACCTTTCTAGTATTGAACACACAATGAAATACATAAAATATGAAGAAAAACGATTATGCAATCTAATTTATAACTCCCGCCATCACGGGCCACGGACTCACTTTTAATTTTAATTTTAATGTTTTTAAAGTATCGAAACCGGATCTGATTTCGGTACGGTATACCGTAGCCACCAGTAACCGGTATTTCGGTGATACCGGTATGCATCCCTACATGTGACCAAACACCTGAAGAATTGTTACTGTTTTTCAGTTGCAGGATGGTGGCTTATTTAGTTTATTGCCTGGAATTTGTAGCACTTTATTAATATATTAGTACACTCTTAGTTCACCCTTATAGCCATGTTGCACGGTTGTTAAACCCACATTAATATACCCTGTAATTACAGTTTTTACACCTTAATATACCCACTGTTATCATCCCTACTCCTCAGACATTAATACACCCCTATCACAGCTCTATTGCAACCATGTTACACCAATAGTACACCCAGTTTGCACATTGACATAGAACTGTTTTACACCTGGCACTTTCTTAAGGAACTTACACTAATTGTACCTCAATCAATCAATCAATGTTTATTTATATAGCCCAATATCACAAATGTTACATTTGTCTCAGTGGACTACACAGTTTATACATAATATCAGTATGACAATACGACACCCTCTGTCCTTAGACCCTCTGTCCTCAGACCCTCTGTCCTCAGACCCTCTGTCCTCAGACCCTCTATCCTCAGACCCTCTGTCCTCAGACCCTCTATCCTCAGACCCTCTGTCCTCAGACCCTCTGTCCTCAGACCCTCTGTCCTCAGACCCTCACATCGTACAAGGAATAACTTCCGTAGAAAACCCACAGTTTAAAGGGAACATGGGAGAAACCTCAGGGAGAGCAACAGAGGAGGGATCCCTCTCCCAGGACGGACAGACGTGCAATAGATGCCGTGTGTAAATTGAAAAGATAATACATTTGCAACATAGGTAGTCCAAATGTTTGGAAATGCATGTGTCTGTAATAGGAAGATGAATCCACGAGGATCTCCATCCAGGACCTATGATCCAGGACCACAGCCACGACTCAAGATAATAACCGCACTTCTTATTAGTGACAAAAGAGCAGTGGCGAACCGTGTCTATCACAACTGGACCTTCTGTAGAAACACACACATTACATTGCATTTAGCTGACGCTTTTGTCCAAAGCGACTTACAATAAGTACATTCGACCAGGAAGACACAACCTTGAAGAAAACAGAATCATATAAGTACATCAGGTTTCATAGAGCCAAACATTTCAAGTGCTACTCAACTGGCTTTAGGTAAGCCAGTCCTTTATTAGTATAAAAGTGCTTCGTTAATAGTTCTAACGCTCGAAGTGGAGTCGAAAGAGATGAGTTTTCAGTTTGCGCCGGAAGATGTGCAAGCTATCTGCCGTCCTGATGTCAATGGGGAGCTCATTCCACCATCTTGGAGCCAGGATAGCAAACCCACGTGTTTTCGCCGATGGGAACTTGGGTCCCCCCTCGCAGCGAGGGTGCAGCGAGCCGTTTGGTTGATGCAGAGCGTAGTGCACGCGCTGGGGTGTACGGTTTAACCATGTCCTGGATGTAGGAAGGGCCAGATCCATTCGCAGCATGGTAAGCAAGTACCAGTGTCTTGAAGTGGATTCTAGCAGTTACCGGAAGCCAGTGAAGGCAGCGGAGGAGCGGAGTGGTGTGGGAGAATTTAGGAAGGTTGAAGACCAGACGAGCCGCTGCATTCTGGGTGAGCTGCAGAGGTCGGATGGCACATGCAGGTAGACCAGCCAGGAGGGAGTTGCAGTAGTCTAGGCGTGAGATGACGAGAGCCTGGACCAGAACCTGAGTCGCTTTCTGAGTCAGCTGGGGACGTATCTTCCTGATGTTGTAAAGCGTGTATCTGCAGCAGCGGGTTGTAGCAGCGATGTTTGCAGTGAAGGACAGGTTGTTATCTAGGGTCACACCCAGATTCCTTGCAGTCTGAGTCGGGGAAACAACTGAGGTGCCGATGTTGATTGTCAGGTCAAGAGTGGGACAATCTTTTCCCGGAAGGAAAAGCAGCTCAGTCTTGTCAAGGTTGAGCTTGAGGTGGTGAGCAGACATCCACTGAGAGATGTCAGCTAGACAAGCAGAGATGCGTGCAACGACCTGGGTCTCTGAGCGGGGAAAGGACAGAATTAATTGGGTGTCGTCAGCGTAGCAGTGGTATGAAAAACCATGAGGGCTAATGACTGATCCGAGCGAGTTTGTGTACAGGGAGAAGAGGAGGGGACCAAGAACAGAGCCCTGAGGGACCCCTGTAGTTAATTAACAAGGGTCGGACTCAGACCCTCTTTCAGGTATGAGGTGAGGAGGGAAAGTGCAGAGCCTGAAACTCCAAGTTTTTGGAGAGTGCGAAGGAGGATCTGATGATTCACCGTGTCGAATGCAGCAGACAGGTCCAATAGGATGATGACAGAGGAGAGGGATGCAGTTTTGGCAGTGTGCAGTTCCTCCGTGACAGCAATGAGAGCAGTTTCTGTGGAGTGACCTGCCTTGAAACCAGACTGGTGTGGATCCAGAAGGTTGTTCTGATTGAGATAACAGGAGAGTTGTTTAAAGACAGCGCGTTCAAGTGATTTAGACAGGAACGGGAGGAGAGAGACAGGCCTGTAGTTTATAACATCAGACGGGTTGAGAGTGGGTTTCTTTAGGAGAGGGTTTACTCTTGCCTCCTTGAGACTGTTTGGAAAGTGACCAGAAGTTAGAGAAGTGTTGATGAAATGGGTGAGAAACGGTAGAATATCAGGAGCGATAGTCTGAAGGAGGTTTGAAGGGATAGGGTCCAGAGGACAGGTGGTAGGGCGGGCAGAGGTAATGAGGGTAAGAACCTCACTTGGAGAGAGAGGGGAAAAGGAGGTTAGTGTGTTGGTGGAAGGAAGGTCTGGTGACCCAGCGGTGAGTAAAGGTGAGTCAGAAAAAGAAGAGCGAATATCATCAACCTTTTTTTCAAAGTGGGTAACAAAGTCGCTTGACAGAAGTGAGGAGGGGGAAGGGGCTTTGGGGGGGGTCCAAGAGGGTGGAGAAGATGGAAAATAGTTTTTTAGGATTGGAATAGGAAGATTGGATCTTATCTTGAAAGAAAGTGCTTTTTGCCTGAGAGATCGAAGCAGAGAAAGAGGAGAGGAGAGCCTGATAGGTTAGGAGGTCGTCACGGTGTTTGGATTTCCACCATTTCCGCTCTGCTGCCCTAAGGACGGTTCTATTAGCACGCAGCGCATCATTTAGCCAGGGAGCAGGAGGGGACTGACGAGCCTGCCGAGATGTGAGAGGACAGAGAGAGTCCAGAGAGGATGAGAGAGTAGAGAGGAGAGTTTCTGCAGCAGAGTTTGGAGGCAGGAGTTGGAACGAATCAGAGGAAGGGAGGGCTGAGAGCACCGACGAGGCAAAGGTAGAGGGGGAGAGGGAGCGAAGGTTACGGCGGACAAGTGCAGGATGAGAAGAGATTAGTTTGTTATGTTTGGAAAGGGATAGAGAGAATGAAATGAAGAAGTGATCGGATGTGTGGAGCGGGTTTACAGAGAGGTTAGAAGTAGCGCAGTTCCTTGAGAATATGAGATCAAGGACATTGCCAGCTTTATGAGTCGGTGGGGACGGAGAGAGTGAGAAAGCAAAGGCGGTTAACAGAGATGTTAGTTCGTCTATCTTCCCCATCTGGAGGTTGAAGTCTCCGAGAAGTACAGCGGGAGGGCCAGTTTCAGGGATGTGTGAGAGGAGATTATCTAATTCCTCCAAGAAGTCCCCCAAGGCGCCTGGTGGACGGTAGAGAACAACAATGGTTAACTGTATAGGATGGGTTACTGTGACGGCATGGAATTCAAAGGTGGAAGGAGTGAAGTTAGGTAGCTTGAAGAGGGAAAAGCTCCATTTGGGAGAGAGCAGGAGACCAGTGCCACCTCCTCTGCCAGTTGGTCTGGGTGTATGGGAGAAGGAATATGCAGTGGAGAGAGCTGCTGGGGTGGATGTGTTGGATGGAGTAATCCAGGTCTCAGTGAGAGCAAGGAAATCCAGAGACTGCAGGGAGGTGTAGCCAGAGATGAAGTCAGCCTTAGGAACAGCTGACTGGCAATTCCACAGGCCACCTGAAACTAGATGTTGGATCTCAGTGGAGCATGTGGGATAGACGAGAGCAGACCAGTTATATCGATTAGGAGATACACGGGGCCGGTGATAATTGCGAGAAGACACATGAACAGGAATGGAGAAAATACACATGATTATAGCATGAGGGGCTAAACAACAAAATAAAATGAAACAAAATAGAAAATAAAAACACCAGCGATACTTAGCTCAATCAAAGTAGGATTTGCCTCCTCTTTGCCTCCCTCGTGACTCCTGTAGGACTCCAATGTCTTTGTCAGTCTTACTCCTGTAGGACTCCAATGTCTTTGTCAGTCTTCGGCTGTCTGACGCTGACGCTCCAGGAAAGAGCTACCTAAAATGGACGCCTGATTGCTCAGTTCTCACAGCTGTAGGGCCACGCCCCTCTAATTAGTTAACTATCTACAGCTGATGGGCGACAATAGACTGGCCCTGCCTATATTAATGCAGGCTTGAGTGCTGAGAGCTGTGAAGCAGGTTTCGCCTGAGCAGATGTGAGATTTAAAATCTCTCAAAAGCGATTTAGCCGTTTAAGCTACAGTAACAATTATACAGAGTAGAATAAATGAAACCGAGAAGTCTAATTAAACAAGAATATAACTTACAGTGGTTGCTGCGTCAATAGGTAATGTTGTCACCGGGTCCAGATGCACACTGAGTTCATCAGTTTCTAAATGCGGTATTTAAATGCTTTTGAGCTAAAGGATGACTGAGTCACGCAATCAATAGACTGGATGTGTGTACTTCTACTTGAGTAAAGGATGTGTGTACTTCTACTTGAGTAAAGGATGTGTGTACTTCTACTTGAGTAAAGGATGTGTGTACTTCTACTTGAGTTAAGGATGTGTGTACTTCTACTTGAGTAAAGGATGTGTGTACTTCTACTTGAGTACAGGATGTGTGTACTTCTACTTGAGTACAGGATGTGTGTACTTCTACTTGAGTTAAGGATGTGTGTACTTCTACTTGAGTAAAGGATGTGTGTACTTCTACTTGAGTAAAGGATGTGTATACTTCTGCTTGAGTAAAGGATGTGTGTACTTCTACTTTAGTAAAGGATGTGTGTACTTCTACTTGAGTAAAGGATGTGTGTACTTCTACTTGAGTAAAGGATGTGTGAACTTCTACTTGAGTTAAGGATGTGTGAACTTCTACTTGAGTAAAGGATGTGTGTACTTCTACTTGAGTAAAGGATGTGTGTACTTCTACTCGAGTAAAGGATGTGTGTACTTCTGCTTGAGTAAAGGATGTGTGTACTTCTGCTTGAGTAAAGGATGTGTGTACTTCTGCTTGAGTAAAGGATGTGTGTACTTCTGCTTGAGTAAAGGATGTGTGTACTTCTGCTTGAGTAAAGGATGTGTGTACTTCTGCTTGAGTAAAGGATGTGTGTACTTCTACTTGAGTAAAGGATGTGTACTTCTGCTTGAGTAAAGGATGTGTGTACTTCTACTTGAGTAAAGGATGTGTGTACTTCTACTCGAGTAAAGGATGTATGTACTTCTTCTTGAGTAAAGGATGTGTGTACTTCTACTTGAGTAAATGATGTGTGTACTTCTACTTGAGTAAAGGATGTGTGTACTTCTACTTGAGTAAAGGATGTGTGTACTTCTACTTGAGTAAAGGATGTGTACTTCTACTTGAGTAAAGGATGTGTGTACTTCTGCTTGAGTAAAGGATGTGTGTACTTCTACTTGAGTTAAGGATGTGTGTACTTCTACTTGAGTAAAGGATGTGTGTACTTCTGCTTGAGTAAAGGATGTGTGTACTTCTGCCATCTCTGGTGTTTTGTTGATGTTTATGTGTTGTTGTGTTCAGGCTCCAGAGGCTCTCAGCCGGAGGACGTCTCCCAGCTGAGGGTCCCTGCAGACTTCTTCAGACCCATCAGCCCCCACAGCCTCTCCGACTCGGAGTGCATACCCCGCCTGCCCCCCCGACGCACACACACACTGAGCCGCACGCTGCGCAGACAGGTGACTGCAACACACACACACACACACACACACACACACACACACACACACACACACACACACACACGCACAGTGTCAGATTATCACTTCAGTCTGAAATCACTCCTGTCATTGTTTGTACTGTGAGGAGGCCCTGAGAGGCAAGTGAGAAACTGATCATTGTATAAATAATAATAATAACACAAATGTTAATAATTATAGAACATGTTTGACAGTAAGGATTATTTTTTATTTGACTTTAAGTTTTTCTTTTCAATGAATTATTTTATATTATTTTGTAGAGTTTTTGGTTATCAGGTGATTTGATTTGTACACGTGTGTTTGAAGTGCATGAAGGTGCTCTAACTCACTTGCTTCTTTGGGCTTCTGTATATATATATATATATATGTGTGTGATTAAAACTCAATTCAAGACTTTTTCCTAAGTCTTTATTTATGTTGCATGCTCTAAACACTCTCACTCTTCTTCCTCCTTCGTCTTCCTCCCTTCTTCGTCTCTTTGTTTATATTTTATCATCCTCCACTCGGTATCTGTTCTCTCTGATCTCAGCTCAGTTGGCCCCAAAAAAACCCCGACCCCGAGCCGCTGCACAAACACAGGAACTCCTGTTTCTGAACCTGCAGACTCTAAAGAAAAACCACCGGGCCTTTCAGACACACACACACACACACACACACACACACACACACACACACACACACACACACACACACACACACACACACCACACACACACACACACACACACACACACACACACACACACACACACACACACACACACACACACACACACACACACACACACACATACACACACACACACACACACACACACAGAGACACACACACACAGACATACACACACAGAGACACACACATGCAGAGACACACACACACACACACACACACACAGAGACACACACACACACACATGCAGACACACGCACACAGATACACGCAGACACACAGAGACACACACACACACGCAGACACACAGAGACACACACACACACAGAGACGCACACACACACATGCAGACACACGCACACAGACACACACACACACACACAGAGACACACACACACACATGCAGACACACGCACACAGACAGACACACACACACACGCAGACACAGAGACACACACACACACAGAGACACACACACACACAGAGACACACACACACATATGCAGACACAGAGACACACACACACACGCACAGACACACACACACATACACACACTCACAGAGACACACACTCACAGAGACAGACACACACACACACTCACAGAGACACACACACAGAGACAGACACACACACATGCACACAGACACACACACACACACACAGACACACACACACACTTCCCTCCCTTCCTTCTTCTCCACTCATCTGCTTCTGCTCACCATCAGCCACAGAGCGTCTCAAACTCTCCCAAAGGTATTGAAGTCCAGGAACACACAGCAACATGTATTAACCTGACAGATATGTTATTTGCCTACCCACAATGCATTGCACTTACCATATTACAACCTCAGGGGGTTGCTGCAGAACAGAGAATATGCATTTGGCCGTTTTGTGAATGTTCTATTGATCATATTTAGTGCTTCTAGGTCAACGGAGTGCAGTAGCTATCAGAGGTGGAAGTACATTTACTCAAGTACTGAACTTAATTCCCCATTTGAGGTATTTGTACGTGACTTAAGAGAACTTACATTTTCATGCTACCTTCAGCTTCAACACTTTGTATATTTGCGTGACAGCTTTAGTTACTTTTTTGCACAGAAACACATGAAGTATTTCACAATAAGAGCCCCTTGAAAGTCTCTTTAGGTCCTTTTCACATAAAAAGACATCATTTCAACTTTTAAAATGTGAAAGTTGATGTTTTTCCTTCATGAAGCACTTTGGGATTTGCAAAATTATTTTAAAATGTTAAACAATTTTTACAAACGGAGAAATTCAGACATCTTAAGAATGTCACAATCAAAGCACCTTTTAAGTTTAAGTCTTTCTCTTGTAAAAACAATCATAGTTTACACCTTCTTATTAAATTACCCCTCTGGCAAATTGCAATAAAACGTCTCACTTGTTTCCCTATTTTTACAAACCAGAATCATCAATAATTAATCAATGATAACCTAATCATATATTATTAACTTGTATACCATTCACATGGGATATTTCCCTCAAATTAGCACTTTAACTTTCAATACTTTAAGCCAGGGGGGTCAAACTCCAGGCCCGGGGGCCAAATCCGGCCCGCGACTTCATTTCATGCGGTCCCACAAGAGCTTGCAAAGAATATAATGTTTATGATACGGTTAGATGACGATTTACAGAAGCACGTTGCCCATAAACTACATGTCCCAGAATGCATCTCAAATTACTTTTTTCTCAGAATTTGACTATTTTTTTTAAATGTTATTTTTTTTTTCCAGCTTTTCTTTTTAAATAATTTTGTGACATTCTCACTGAAGAGAATTGCAATTATTTGCCCTCGGCGTCTGATTTCAGACGTAGTTAATCATGAAGTTGTTACCCTATCAGATAATAATCCAATGCAATAATATAATACATTATTTTATATATATTTATATATAAGTTACAACCGGCCCTTTGAGTGCAGCCATAATGCTGATGTGGCCCGCGATTAAATTGAGTTTGACCCCCCTGCTTTAAGCACATCTTCCCAATAAATACTCCAAAACATTTACTTTATTGACATTGTCAGTGCTTTTCCTTGTAGCAGAGTATGTTCTCAGTGTAGTGTTTAAGTCAAGTGTTCTTCCTCCACCTCTTTTAGGTATTGCACTCAACGTGTTTTAAAAAAAAAATAGCGACAGGGTGACGATTCTTAGTTTAATTGCAGTCATCAGTTTCTTGGTGTAGTACTGCTGCTGTGGCCACTAGGTGTCGCTGTGGTCTCACTATTCAGGCTCAAGCAGGGAAACCCATGATTCAAACATCTCTACAAAGTGCCGCTCGCTTTCAAACTCATGCATGCCTCGCTTCCTCGTCTCTGTGGACTCAACACTCTGACGACATGTTATGAGTTTCAGCGTCCATCGTGCTTTTGTAAACCCTCCTCTCCTGCAGTAGAGACATGTTCTGTTCACCCTCTGACCGCTGACCTCACTGCTCATGCTTTCTGTTCAGATGATAAGATAAGGTTGCAGGATTTTAAGTGAGAGGGGTCAAAGGTCAGAGGGTCAAGTGGTCTGGTTCAGAGTTCACCGTGCAGCCTTCAGTCCATGAAACAACAAGCAGCGTTCACTCTCCTGATGAGACTGATTTCACTTTGAAATGTCACTTACCTTCCTCTGATTTATTTCATGACTTTCAGGGAAAACGCCACTAGGCTTCATTTATTAAATTACTACAAAGTAAAGGGGCATTTTTGATCAGATTTCAAAGCAAAAAGGATCATTTCCACTCACTTTTACCTCTGAATTCATTCAAAAATGTGTTGATTTTTCAATCATAAGGACTTCTCTCAAGATATCTCTGATCACAGTCATTAACCTAATATACGATAACCTTTGGGATCAAAGTCAATTGTGATCTTAAGAGTTTTAATACAGATGTTGTAGTCGTCACATTCTTTTATAGACCTCCCTCAAGACAAATTGAAGTTAAAAAAATAAATAATGAAACTGCTATTAAGCCCCTGAGAGAGAATCTTCTTCTCAAAAAATGTTGGTACGTGTAAGGGAAACTTCTGCAGCAATGGAGAGTCAGGACTCAGAGAGACACGAGGAGAGTTGGAGCTTTGATGTTAAACACTGGTGTTTATTACAAGTCAACGGCCGGAGAATTCACATCACAAGTCACAGCAGCAAAAGGTTCTGACTGCACGGGTGGGTCGTCATGTCAATTCTCATCAGCCTATCTCTCGATAGACCTTTTAACTACAGAGAGTTAATCAGCATATTGGGGAGGCGTAAACATCTGTGGAGCTACAGGAGATAACCCCCAACTAGAAATACTCAATCACTTGTCAGTGGTGTTTAGAAACCAGCGTTCTCACAGTCGTAAACCCCCCCATCAGGCCATACAACTGACACTTAAGTGCTGGAGCACATTCCTTAAAGGAGATAACAGAATATTGGTTGGTTATTAACGTCAACAGGCAATAAGGTTAAATATCTAGGAGTAAAGACATAATGATTCCCTCACAGTACGTAGTTTATTTCGTTTTTTTGGGGAATAGTCCGCCCTTAACTTGCCTCTCAGGGCTTCTGTATGTGTCTGATGGGTTTTCATTCATTTAAGTCTAATTCCATAAAGATTTGATTCATAAATCTGCAATTATTAGTAAACATAATGTCACCTACTACTTCAGAATCAGAAACAGGTTTATTACTAGGTGTTCACATACGTCATGTTCCTCTGTGGTGCATACTGTGCATAGGGGAGGATAAAAAGAAAAAACAACCCAAAAATGTAATAAAATCAATTGAAACTATTACACGTTAAGATCTAGAAAAATGACTTACATGAAATCTGGATATACCTAACCATTTGCAGTATATTATATAAAGCAATATTAAAATAAAATGTAATATGTGCAGTGTTGTTATGGGAGTGTTCTACTCGTGCGGCCATTATCAGTCTCAGGACTTCCAAACTATTTCTGACGTCAGAAAGTAAACACAAGTAGAATATATATGATGCAACTTCACTGCAACCCTAAATGAGAACAGAGAGGACTCTGGGAAAACGCTGTGAACTCTGACCCCTGCTTCTCATCCTCATCTCTCCCCACTAACTAGTCTCCCCCTTTTCATCTCCCCCTCCTCTTTCACCGCACATTTCCCCCCTCTCCCCTTCTCCTCCAGGTTGCTGTATCGACCGACTCTCAGGAGGCTCTGTTTTCGGACGGAGGGGGAAGCGCTGAAGGACTTGTAAACTTAGCCCTCCCCCTTTCACCCTCCGCCTCCTTATCTCCCCCACTTTTACCACCCAGGCCCGCCCCCTTCCCCCCCCAGGAGGATCTGGAGGTGTCGCTCCTCACCCACAGGGGGACAGGAAGTGACATCACTATGGCACCAAACGACGGTGATGTTTTCGTCAGAACGAGGCAGTTGAAGAGGTTTCACAGCATGGACACGACGCAGGGCAGCAACGTGGCCCCGCCCCCTCGCCTCCCTCGACCCCCCCGCCCTTACTCCTGGCTCGACTCCCCCCCGGAGACCTGCTTTTCATCGGAGGGGGAGTCAACAGACCCCAATCGTAGCCCCTCCTCCTCATCTGGCTTCGTTTTTTCGCAAATCCACGCCTCGCCGCATAGACGCAAGAAGAAGATGAGCCCGCCGTGTATCTCCGTGGATCCGCCCTGCGACGAGTCTGGACTTTACCCCCCAGGAGTGGTTGTTGTGGGGGGAGGGTTAGGGTTACCCTCCCCCCTGCCCAGCCGGGACACCTGTCTGAGGAGGAGGGCGCCCTCTAGTGACTCCTTTGACCTCGGGGTGACGGGGGGCGAGGGGGGGTCTGTACAGCTACTGACACCCCCCAGGGAAGAAAAGCTCTGAGCACTGATTCTGCAACACACACAGAAAGAGACACACACACACACACACGTGATGCACACTGTGTGTCTTTGGTTCTAGTCCTAGTAATAATGCTGTAGAGCAGTGGTTCCCAACAAGGGGGTACGGGGGTATTTGAGGGGGTACGGGGGTATTTGAGGGGGTACGGGGGTATTTGAGGGGGTACGTCGAAAAGATTAGGGATTGCAATTTATTTCCACACAAAAGAAAATATTTGTAATCTTCCTGTTGTCCGAGGGTCAAATTGGACTCATTCATAAATGTTTTTTTCTGTCAAAACAAGGTGTTGTTTTTATCGAAATGCCACAAAAATAACATCGTGGTCACTACCGTCATTGAAATAGTGGTTTTATATAAATCAATAGCATCTGGTGGGATCATGTGCCGCCCATGCAAAACTATTGAAGCGGTTTTTAATACAGAAGCCTGACAAATTCAAAATAATTATTCTTGTCCTATTTTAAAACCTTTTTTTGGGTAATTTAAGGTTTTTTGACAGTAAATTTAAAAAAAGATAAGTCATTAATAGGAATTAAATTGGCATAAAAGGTGAAACCAAGATGTGTGTAATAAATCTATATGTTTTATAAACAGTCAAACCAGGACAAAGTTTGTACAGCTGATGGGACGACAACACAACGGTTAGATTAAGAAAAAAGTGAGTTTTAATGTTGTTTTTTAGCTCGCAATACGTGTAACTGTCAAGTTTAAATGCATTTGTATTAAGGGTGAGTTATACAAGTGATTATCATTTAATGCACTTTGGTTAAATATAATTTCAGAGGGTTTAAAACCAAATAAAAGTATAAAAAGTATTTAGGGGTTCAGGAGACAGAAGAGGTTGGGAGCCACTGCTGTAGAGAGTAACAATAGCCGCTTTCACACCAAGTACTTTGCCGCACTGAGTTCCCCATGGAACAAAGAGCCGATCGCGTTCACACCACGGATGTATAATAAGAACTGGATACAGCGTGGGAGGCGGGGCCTCGTTCATTCCTATGAGAGCTGCTCATTAGCGCATGATGATAAAATAGCCCAACTTTTGAGAGAGTGAAACGTCACAGATTACCCAGCATGCCTGAGAAGTACCCGTATGTGCGCTCATAGCGCATGCGCAACTTTAACCAAAATGCTTTTTCACATCAAGCACGTCAATTTGCGTACACGTAACAGCACCGCACGTTCATGACAGCATGGTAATGATTTGTTATTATGATGGATTTGATATTAACGAGGCGGCAGCTAGCGGCTAGCTAGTAATGATGCTAATGTACACATCAATCGTTATGTACTTATATTATGCTGTAACAGGATCTAGTGATATCCAACAGCGCTTCATTTAGCATGAAAGAATGATTGCACTGTGTATATATATATATATATATATATATATATATATATATATATATATATATATATACAGTGCAATAAGCATCTTAGTGCAAGATTTAATCATACAGCCCATGTAGTATAATATTTTACAAATGATGAATTACAGCAAACATGTGCAATATATCCATTATTACAGCTCCGTGCTGGCAGTAAGGCGATATGGTCCGTTGTTATTGTGCATCCATGGGTAAAGATAAACGCATGTAGTGCTGAAGACGTAACATGAACGTGCCGGGCGGCGCGGTCCTGTGGGTTAGATGCGCGTTCATAATGCAGAGGGAAATAACTCTCAGAATAACGTTATTAGCACATTATTACAACTTGAGGAACAAATGTTTTTAATAAGGTCTATACAAACGTTCATACTGGGTTGTTTATTTAGTTTTAAAAAAAGTATCCAACGAGTTACAGACCACTCTTTCCCCATGTAAGTCAATGGGAAAAAGTGTTTCTGGGCCCAGCGACCTAAAGGAAGTGTAGTACCGCCGTTTGGCCACAACGAATATTCTCATCAGACTCCGGCGCACTTCCTGGGGGCTTGGTTCACACCGGAATAAGTTCCCTGAGGGAGGATTACGCAAATGAAGCCGCTGACGTCACTTCTTCTTCTTCTGCTTTGGGTTTACTGGCAGGCCGCAAACAACTTCACGGCGTAAACTGCCACCCGAAGTCCCCGGCCGGAAGTCCCCGGAGTTAGGGACTGGCTTCAGTAGAAGCTGCTGGGACTCCCAGCAGCTTCTACTGAAGCCTTCCGAGTAAATCGCCAGAAGCGCAGACACCTCCTCATCTCCACCGCTCCCATGTTTTATTTTGTGTTGCCATAAGTTATTCTCTCTCCGTTGGTGCGCGGGGCTAATGCTAATAATGCTAATGCCACAAATAAAATGGCGGCTTCAAAAAACTTTTCAGAGTTTTACGGGGCGTGGTTTGCAATCCGCGCAGCCAATAGAAATTGGTACTTTTTTCTCCCCAGGATAGTACCACCTGTCTAGCAGGCACTAAACGTGGGGGTTAAAATTCTCGGAACTAAGTTCTCTTTTTGGTGTGAACGCGCAATTCCAGGCACTAACGGAACTAAACGGGAAAAGTACGGGTAAAAGTACTCCGGTGTGAAAGCGCCTAATGGTTCAGAAACAGTGGGGACACCAAGGGTGAAGTACTGTAGTCATGTGACCACCCTGGGTGAAGTACTGTAGTCATGTGTCCACCCCGGGTGAAGTACTGTAGTCATGTGACCATCCCTTGTCTTTGTAATGTTACTGCCAAAACAACCACAGAAGAGAAGACGCGAACACACACATTTCTCTTCGGCGACCCCGTGACCTCCGCAGGGAAACATGTTTAATCCGCCCGGCAACAGTGGAGGTACAAAGCAATATGAACGTTTTAGAGACACTATTTTCTTAAATTATTGGGCCATAGTGTTTGTACAGGATGTTGTTTTTTAATTTCATTTCGATTGTTATTTTCACGTGTGATTGTTTTTCTTTTGTCGAGATGGTTTGTCTTTGTCTTTTTTTTCACTGTAGGATATTTCTAGCTTTCTTGGTTTACTGAGGAAAGTGAACGTTTTTCAAAGTGCTGAAAACCATGTATTTGTAGGAATAATATATAAATATATATATAAAAAAACAAGTCATTAAACTGAGTTTGGGTTTTTAAACACACGGTGGTTTGATTGTCCGAGAAAAATGTGTTTTCATTATTTCTTTGGTTGGTTTTGGTTCTCCGAAAGGTAATAACACAAAACTGTATCAAATATGTGAAGCATTTTAGAAAAAACTACAACTTAAAGGTGATTTAACTGTTGATTTGAACATGACTTCCTCTTAGGATAAGGGCCTGGGTCCCATATGGTTAAAACAATAAATACAACCAAATTAATATATACATAATAACAGTAATTAGATATTTAGTATCTATAGATTACATCCTATGAAATATAACGAATAAGTTGTAATAGACCGGCTTACTACCAAAAAAACATAAAAAAGGACACTTAATGCATACATGTTACAAGTGTGCACACTAGTAGCAGATATTAAATGAAAATTGGAATTAGCGTTGAATATGTACACATTGTTAGGGTTATTAATCAGATAGAATTCAATCCGGTTAAAAATAATATAATAAAACATTAAAACAATCACGAGACAGCTGATTGTTCCTTTAACATTATTAATAGTAAAAGTTAAAAAAAAAGACTCTGTTATATTCAGACCCGGCGCCAGAACAAATCTAAAGGGAGGGCATATGATTTTCATGGGAGGGCCCACAAAACCGTCACGTGCTGCGGGCCTGCGGCACAATATCAAACAGCAAGGCCAACAGCAGTGCGTAAAGACGCACACTTATCGCAAACATACACAAATAAAGGGCAACATAGCAACCACTTTGAAACATTGTGTGCGTGGCAGCACAGACACTGGTAAATCACGAGCAAGGCACACTGGTTACGGATGGCAGCTTCCTCATCGCTGCACTCGGAGAGAAATAGTAGAGACGGAGACGTTGAACTGTTTAGCCCGCCTTGGGCATGGTTTATGTTTCTATGCACTGCACTCGGACATGCTGTGGAGTGAATCGAGTCACCTCTGAGAGGGAGTTGGTTGACAGCTAAAAAAGCTATAATATCAACGACAGCTGACACGTAATAACGGCTCCGTGCAGCTGATCTGCACCAAAGTACTAATTTCCTTATTTGTTTCCTCGCGTGTCTCTCTCTCCACAAACTCTCACATGAAATGTGTTCTTTTGATGCGGCATGCCTAGCAGTCCTTTATCAGTCTGTAATGCGTGTTTCCAGTCGCAAAAACCTTTGACAGTAAAAGCCGCATCAGATGAAGACGTATTGACTTTAAACTGTCTACAGGGGAAACAAAAGGCTGCGTCTGCTTTTAACGAATATTCAATCCATGGTCTGTTGTACCATGCAGCGGCTAAAGTGCGCTTCTTTCCTGAAAACAATCTCCCTGGATAACGATCCAGCTTCACCTGCTTGGGTTTATTAACCCCAGATCATCGCTAACTCAGCCCCGGGGTTTGCCGAGGTCAAGCTTGTGACATTAAGGCGTGCTGCTGCAACGGCAGGTGCAGGGTCGCCAGCAGCACCATCGGCTGCAGTTCGTTCATCGCTATTTCGTTTTAATAAATCCTTAGACCTTTTGAGCCCATTTCTGATGTCCATTTTGTAATTCAAACAGACATGGGAGTCTACAGAATGCACAATAAACAAATCCAGAATAGGCGGCAGAGTGTGACGCTGTGATTGGTCTAAATGGGGACGAATCACAAATCACAACAGACACATTTATTTGACGTAGCCTGCGATTTTTTGTTTTTGTTCTGACATCACATACATCGTAGCATAAAAGTTCACAGTTTATAATTAAAAAAATAAAATATATTTTTTTATTTTTATAAATAATAAAAAAACGTGTTTATTGGGGGAGGGCAGGAATGTCAAATGGGAGAGCCTGGCCCTCCCTGGCTCCGGGCATGGTTATATTAAAGGTGGGGTAGGTAAGTTTCAGAAACCGGCTCGAGTGCACTAACATTTGAAAGTACACAGCGGAAAAGAATCCGCCCCTTCCTTCAGACTTCCTTCCAGAGCACCTCCTCCAACACACATGAACGTGCACATGACTTAGGTTGGCTTTATAGTTCAGGGGAATTGTAAACCATACAAAACAGATAATTACCTGTCCAAGAGA